ACATCTTCTCATCCAAACCCACGTTGCCGGAAATTCCAAATTCTTGCCGGAAAGTCATGACCCAACAAAAATTTCCAGCCACTCACCCAGCGGAATTTCCAAAATACGGTCAGAAGATCATTAGGCAACAGCAATTTTTAGGTGAGGACCAAAAGACGCCTGCAGAGAAGTTCGCACCCCTCGCTGCTGTTTTCAGGCGCCGGCTGGTTGTTGGGATTGCATCGGCTTCGTTGGTTGCATTTGGTGCCAATTTTGGGGGAATTATGAGTTCGGTGCTCGGATTATCTCCTGAAAGTGGCCGGAATCTTAAACTGGATGTGATTTATCCCATTGATGGTTATTCTAGATGCTACGAGCCCTCTAAGGGCTTTGGTAACGTGTCTCCCTTTGTCTAAAGACCAAATTTTGGTTTTCGGGGTTTTTATTTTTTAATTAGTATTTCATCAATTTGTTTTGCCTTATATCGATGAAGATGTAGGGCAAATTTTATAAGACAGCTGCGAGGTCAGTTTTATTCTATGAAACGAAAATGTTGGTGAAAAACCAATGGACATATAGAATGAGTGTAGTGGAGATGAGGATATTGATGTATGAATAACAAGATAAAAATGTATAGAATTCGAAATTAATACATTCGGATAAATTTAGGTGTGGTATCAAGGCAATAAGATGAGAGATAGTAGACTTAGGTGCGGTGGCCATTTATGATGCAAACCCAGTATATCACCTGTTAGGAGATGCAAGTTGGTCTAAATTAGTCCAGGTGGAAGGCTCAAAAAAAACAATGGATTGGTAAAAAATGACATGGTTGGAAGTAGTGAGAAAAAATACAGGGACTTATGACCTCACGGAAAGTATGCCCCTTAATAGAACAGATTGGCGAACTAAAATTTGTATAGCCAACTCCAATTAGATAGGAAAAAAACTTTGACCATGGTGATAATTTCATCAATTTGTTCCGGTCATCTTAGAATTTTATAGTACAAAAAATTGGTGTGCTGTCAAGAATAGGTTCAAGGTTAGGAGGTCAAGGTAGTAATTTTATTCCTACCACGGGAGGATCCCTTTCCCCACCTGAATTGCCTCAAAAAAATAAAAATAATATATATACAAGCTGATCAAAATCCCTTCGATTTTTCATGTTATTCCTTTGAGTTTTGCAATTTCTCTGCGAAATTGCTTATTCTCGAGATTATTTCTTTACAAAATTGTTTAATTTTTGGTACACCATGTCAAAACTTGTCCTCATATTCTCTTTCATTTTCTTTCTTGCCAGAATTTATTTATCCGTCAAGCTGGGTCGGAGATCGAAGATTATTATATAGAGCAGTCGAAAGGGCAGAATTGGAAAGATCACTCGACCCCCCACCTGTTGACGATAGCCTCCCGCCCCGCAATTTCACAGAGCCGGTCGTCGCATTTGGACCACCAGGATCAAGTGGCGAGCTCAACGTCAGCGTCATCGTCTCTCCAGTCCCTTCCAATTTCTCGTACGCCTGCAATCTAACATTTTCCCATTTTTTCATTTCTACTTTCTTTTTATGGCTGATTCTTTTTCTAATTCTGACCGTCAAAACCTTTTTCCAACTGATTAAAGTCTTTTTTTGATTCTCGAATGAATGGAAATACAAAGATGATCAGGTACCCTTTCATTGGTTTAACTGATGAATTTCCATTTGTTCTCAATCTCTCACCTATTAACTTACCATTGATGACCACCATTTTGCAGAATCGAAGACTTTGGTGGTGAAAAGGAGATTGCTGAGAAAATAGTTAAAAAGATCACCGGCAAACGCTCAGATATCACAGCAACCGTGTTCGATTCAAAGGCAACTCAAGATCCCATGAGCAGAATCAATTACTATAACTTGGAGTTTAAAGTCGAAAGTCCTTCATTTTGCAGGCACAACGTTGCGGTTTTTGCGGCAAAAAATGGCCGGCTGTTCACGATAAATGCACAAACACCAGAGGCAAAGTGGCCTAAAGTGCAACAAGGGTTCTACAAAATTGCAGATTCGTTTAGCTTGATTTCTTGACCGAGGACTAACTAGGTCTTAAAATAAAAGGAAAACTGCATCCTCATTCACAGGTTTTGTATAAAGATATAAGCAAGGAAAATTGTTTCATGCAGACTGGATCACGTTTCTAGAATATGCAGAGGTATAAAGATGGATGCAAATAGATGGTCCATCTAAAAACAAGTGCAACTAATTGTCAAAATGTTTTTTTAATATAATTATTATTTTTAATTTTCAATTGTATTTATTTATTCATATTCATGATCTTCATGTTAAAGATTATATATTCTTTAAAATGTTGGATGAATTTACATTTAAAAAAAATATTTATTGCCAAGTCCACATTTCATTTCTACAATATGCTGGCCGCATAGAAACCGGGTCCTATAAGTAATCAAAGAAGGAAACAATAAAGAATATATGGGCTCGCATGATATACAGCCATTAATGAGACTGAAGTGCAACATTCATTCTGAGAAATCAGGAAATTTCAAATCAATACTCTCTCTATCTATCTCCCCGTGTGCACGGCGCGCGCACACATGAAATCCATCCGAAAATTTCACATGCCAACGCAAAAAAGTAATCACTAAAAAGTAATTAAACAATAACTCAAATGAAAATTTGACCCCAAATCTCTATTCTATGTCATTCATGCATTCTATATCGTTCATGATTCCGCCGCTTTTCCCAAAAGACAAAAAGATTTAAACCCACACCCGCCATCTGTGCGCCAAAAAAAATGACGTCCCAATATTTGCACGAGTTGTCCAATTTTTGGAGGAATAGATCTAGATGTCAACGACTCAAAATCAATTTTTTTTCTTTCTTTTTCATATCAAAAAAATCATCTATTGATACTTGAATCCCAAAATTTTGAATGAAAAGTTTCTCCCAAGTAGCAATTTTGCCCAATGGAATTGCTCTACACTGCAGACGCATGATATATACACTCATTTTTATTTTGGAGTAAGTATTTTACCCTTTAGTCACAAGGGGAAACAGACGTAAAAATTCCAGCTCACCCACTGAAAACAGTGAAAATAGCGACAAACAAATTCACATACCATTACAAGCACATGAACAGAACCCAATAAGTTTCTCCAGACGAACCAAGCCGTCTCAACATCAACGCAAATAAATAAATAAGGAAGTTGAGCCTCAACAACTTTTCTGTTCACCTTCCAACGGAGTTGATCAGGTTCGATGTTGTTTGGCTCTTAAAGCCCTATTTTCTTCATCAATCAGTTTTGGCCCTAAAAGAATTTAATGAGCTTCTCCCTTCTGTATGTATGTTTGTGCATGCGCAAGGGAATGAGAGTGTGTGGGTGCGTTTGTGTTTGTGTGTGAGAGAGAGAGAGAGAGAGAGAGAGGAGGAGACGTAGTCGCTACTTAGTAGAACTATAGTCGACCTAACCTACCCAACCTAACTACTACTAACTAAATAGTCGACGTACGTTAGTCG